AAATCTAACCTGTTAATAATGCCTTAGAACCTATACGTTCTGCCAGTGCTTCAAATTCACAGAACTCAAAGCTGTCGGAAGTGAAATCTAAAGAGGTAGTCACATCTTCAAACATAGTACCGGGAGTGATAAAGATGCTTAAGTTATTTTGACATGGGCGGTACATATGTTTAGCTTCCTGGACTATGAATTTTTGAATTTTGTAGACAGACCCAACAATGAGTTTTCGCTCAAACTCAGTAACAAAATTTTGGTTTCCAATGCCGTGTATAAGCATCCCCTAAAAAAGAAAAACGATACACATGGAGAGAATCAGTGAATATTATGGAATGATGTGGCCAGCAAAAATAATTGTGAAAGCACAGTTACCGTTTCATCAACCCATAGAGTTCCAAAGTCGTAAATATATTGAGGGTTGGATGGACTAACAGAACGCCATGAGTGCAGAAGGCGCGCCTTGATTAACACATCGGTGTCGTGAAGAGTGAGTTAGTGGAAGAGCTTCTCTGGACTTTCAGAGAATTCATGGATGAGTTCCTTTGGACTATCAGTGGTTGTCGTCTTCAGGAGCTTCGTCGAACTTGCAGTTCGTGTTTTGGGAGTTTTGGAGAACATTGCTGAAAAAGATGGAGGATGCGATTGCAAGAATGTTAGACAAAGCACACGGACGAATATTTCAAAACCTTAAAATTGAATACAATGTTGCAGCTTCATGGTTTATTTATAGGATTACGGGGAAGGTGCTTCTTACTATTCCTAAATAGTAATTGATGAGGAAAAGAATTGTTTTTTATTAGTAGGAAATAAATTTAATATTATTAATTCTACAAAGAGAGTTAAAATAGATGGACCAATTTGAGTAGGAAACTATAACTACTATTAATTCTAAACGTAACTAACAAAAATATTCTTAATAGTAAATTAGTGTCCTGTTATATGAACCCTCCTTTTTCTGAAGAGTAAGCAAAGATAATAAGCTATCTAGAGCAAGTTTTAATTCATGTAGATAGAAAACACAACAGTGTTGTCAAGGTCAAACAAATAAAAGTATTGAGAATGCACCTATTTGTAGCTCAAATCATAGGGGACCACTGATTGTAAAATCAATGCAGCAATCTTGCAATGCTAAGGGGTACATGAGCCTGGATTAGTTACCCGTTGTCCATAGATTCCTACACAGATGAGAAAACAGGCATCATAAACTCACTAAAATCCATTAATGGAACCAAACGAACTATTATGTTTAACTCTGAACCTTTAATTTATCCTGCACTGCATCACAGAAATCTTGTAAAACATCCCCAGACACAGCAGATATGCAGACAACATCCTGGCGTTTTGTTGCTTCTAATTCTATTTTCATGGGATCACTGGCCTTGTCCACCTACCAAAATGGAGGTAGAAACTCAATGAATTACTGAGAAGATTGCATACTCTCTAAGCAAATGTTATCACCGCATCATACAAAGCAATAGAACAGAGACATGTTTACTTCGTCCAACACAGTGAAGGGAGAGGATGAGCGTTTGAGATTCAATCCCTAAGGAAAATCTTCCAGGGAAGAATCCACTGCTGGAATAATGAACAAACTTTACCTGGAAGATTCTCTTATACAGTAGCATCAAGCATGCTTTGTCCAATAGCTTGCACAAATAGCTTCCCTTCTTTAACACTTGCTCTGCATACTCAAAAGCATCGGCTTTGCTCTGTCAAAAAACACCCCAATCAGGTCAAATCCCTTTTTCCAACCACTCACACAAATTGAAACGGGGCAAATTTTAGAATCCACTCACTGTTAGCCTGTCTGACAGTGATGAATTTGATCGATCTATTCGCCGCTTTAACGAATCGTCAACGGCGGGATGTGAAATGCTGGGCTCTTCGCCGGCCAGCTCTCTTGCTCATCCGCCAGGGGGTCGACGGAGGTGCTGAAGGGTTTGGGGAACAATCGGAAATCGATCGGAAGAGAGAAGAGGATAGCCTCCAGGAATCGACGAACGGATAGAAGGACGGGAAACGGGACGGGAAGAGAAGAGGATTTGACGGAGGGGCAGGCCTCTTCGCCGGCCAGCTCTCTTGCTCAACCGCCAGGGGGTCGACGGAGGTGCTGAAGGGGTTGGGGAACAATCGGAAATCGGTCGGAAGAGAGAGGCGACTTACCTAGCCGCCAGCCAGTCGTCGGTCGGAAATCGGTGAAACAGGGAGGAGTGGAGAAATTGCATTCATCTACGCAGGGAGATCGGAGAGGAAAAAAGCACCGAACTTGGACAGCCGCTAGCCAAACTACGCAGGTAGATCATAGTTTAGGCTGAATGGACGGCTGAGATCGTCAGAACTAATGTAACGGATGGTGATCCGCGTAGGCGGTAGAGAACTTACCGTAGACTTGCTCCCAGCCCACTGGACCCCTTAAGTACGCTGGCCAATTAATTATACTAATAATAATAATAATAATAATAATTATTATTGTATGAACATGTTATATTCTCGATTTTGCATATATGATATATATTGAATATCATAATCCTCATTTATATTCTCGGACTTGGTCTCTTAAAACAATCTCAGTTTTAATTGTATAACAACGAACGAACAAAAAAACGAGTAAACAAGTATGTGAAAATCATTTACCACGTGTTATATTTTTCATGTTTTTGAAAACTAGATGATATATTTTAAAAAAATTAATATAACGATCGTTTATGAGAACAATCTTCGGAATTGTGCTCTAATAAGCTGTAGATCTAGACTATATATTCATATTAAACATATAGCAGTTATTAATTAAAATTCAAGACTTGATGATCAAAATCTAACTATATGATTTACACTAGAAATGGAATATGTGGTCTACCATGAAATTAACACATCCATAATTTATCATCCTCTTTTTTTTTTCTTCTTCTTCCAAATGGGTCCATTATTTTTGTCTTTTCCATCACCATATCAATGAAGATATTGAAAACAGTCCTCCCCCACAACCCCACCTTATTAAATCGTCTCCATCTCCCTTCATGCAACTTTGCTTTCAAATGATTCATACAACCAATCAATCCAAATCCTTCACCGTTCGTTCCATATGCCACAGTAAGATGGAAGACAGAGCTATGGCCATGTATGTCACAATCCAAGTGTCAACATTTGTTGGCTTGATAATTTATTAAGTTTCCCCCTTTCCCCTACTAAGTAGAAACTGTACTTAAAGTACAGTTTAGTGTGGCAGTTACGTGAGTAGCATTAGAGTATTTTGTCGATACAACCCAACTCATTACTTAGTTCACAAATTTACATAAAATTAATTTATTAACTATAAACGAAATTTCAATTGCAATAAAGATCTAATCGGATCTCTTTTCTCCTTATACTTGTTCGATCTTTTCCCACTACAACCCTGAAATTGTCCAGCGACAACGGCAATTTCACTAGTTTTGATTCTACCAATTATTACAACTACAAGTGTAAAAAGAGCATTTTTCCAGCTTTGAGTTATATTAAGAAACAAGTTTTCAAGTCGATTTGACAACCGGTTTGCTAATGCTTGTTTAGTGAGAGATACATTGAAAGAGACTTATTTAATAGTGTAGACAACTAGTTTGCTAATGCTTGGCTTAAAATGCTGCATCCGCCACTGCAACGAGGAGCCATGCATTTTTGTTAGAAGCTCTTCATCGATTCTCTCTCGTATTTAGTGTATTTTTAGAATTTGTGTTGTGCAAATAGGATTGCTTTATCTTACAGCGAAAATAACCCTATAGAGGACTTCGCATCCCTCCCTCGTTTGATTTTTTTTTTTTTTGTAAATGGCTAGCTTTCCTTTTTAGAATATAAACAAGATCACACAACATTTAAATTGGAACATAGTGTAAATTGTTTTATGTTTTCATTTCATTAATCAAGCAAGATACCGTGCATATTTGTTGAGGTAAAGTTTTATATTAATACCTCTTAGTCAGTCCAAGTGGCTGCTATTTTTTGCCAGTCTGCTAAATGAAATTCCCTTCAGGCTAGGGAAAGGAGATGTAATTCAATACGACTGCAGTAGCTGACCATGTACAGTAGATTGAACAGAGGGAATTAATCAGGGGGGAAAATATTTACTTTTTTTCCGGAAGAGAATCATTTATGGTAGACCTTAGTTTAATGAATAAATATGGAAGAAATCTGGAATGAGCTTATATGGTAAAACTTGCAGGTCGGCCCATTAATTCACTGTTTGGTTTTTACCCCTGCAACGTAACTACTGCTGTAACATCTAAAGTTGGAGCTCTGCAGATGCTGCTTTCCCAACGGATTGCTCTTTCGATCATCACAATCTTCTTCTTCTTCAGCTGGCCGATGATTTCGGGACCATATATATCTCCATTGATGCACAGAGAGAAAAAAAAAAGGCAAAAGAATCATAAATGAGACAGTTAGATGAGGGCAGTAATAACATTCTGCCCCTGACTATTTTGGCAATCGTTTGGCTCCCCCGTTGCTTTTGAGGACTTTCTTTTTTCTAGTGAAATGGTATCTTCAAGATAATTTCAAAGGAATATGGATTCAGATCTATAACTTTGTAGGTACGTGAGTCCAACATCTCATCACTTGAGCTCTTGCGGTATATGATGAGCACGTTGATCACACCGTTAATCTTTTTGCTACGTTCGTGGTTGTTAGATCATTACAAGTTTGAGCAAAATGGAAATGTTACCCAGACTTAATCAGTCATGTGTATCTAGAGAGCTAGTAAGTATAACAAATACTAGCTAGCTAGCTCCTCAGGGGGAATGCGTTAGGGTGGAAACTGAATTTCTAGTAGTCACCGTGGCTACATCAGTATCCACCATTTATTTTATTCTTTTTCCTCTTTTTTTAATCTTACGGTTAAGATTGCCTTAGGATAATTTTGGAAGAAAAAAAAGGACCACACTTGATTATTCTATATATTCTACCCTGACCCTACTTTTACAGCCAAACCCACCATAGCCGCAAGCTCTCACCCTCCCTCACTGCAACCGTATAATGATGATTCTCCCCATAAATGTAAACCCCTTTGATGAAGTGGAAGGCGAGTCCCAACGGGTTCCGCCGTCGCAATCGCCCACGCCGGTGCCGCCAACTACAAAGCTGGAGAATTGCGACATCGATGTGATGGAGATCAGGCAGCAGTCCCCGCAGCTCCATCCTCAACCTCACCATCTTCCTCAGCCGCTGGATCACGCTCCCATGGCTACAATCGATTCGGAAGAGTACCGGGCTTTTCACAAGTCTCAGCTCGATCTGGCTTGCGCCGTCGTGGCTATGACCAGGGTATATATGCGCGTTGATTTTTTATTTGGATGAATTTTGTAGAATTGTTGTAGTTTAGCGATGTCTTGTGTGTTTGATTGGGGGTTTACATTGACAAATCTCAGCATAGTGTTTGATCCGGGCAGGCTCCCTGGAGGATAGAAGTTCTAGGTGGTGGTAGCTGACGGAGAAGGGAGGAATATCATGTTGTTAAGGATTGGTATGTTTTTCTTTAAATGGTAGTCATTTTTTTTCCGTAGTCATTTTTTTTAAAATGGTAGTCATTTTTTCTCGTAGTGGTAGTGTTATTATTGTATTGGTATTGTTTTTGTCGCACTGGTATTATTTTTGTCGCATTGGTATTGATTTTGCGCATTGGTATTGATTTTGTTATATTGGTAGTGATTAAATCTGCAATGGTATTGATGTTTTGTGAAATGGTAGTGTTTTTATTTCTTGAATGGTATTGATGTTTTGTACAATGGTAGTATTTTTTTAATGGATTGGTATTGATTTATTGTTTTGTTGTTGCAGCGGTATTAGTTTGGATGAACGAAATCAAGAAAAGATTGAGAAAAAGAAGGAAGAGAGATCTGGCTGGAAAATTGTGGAAGTGAGAGAAAGAGAGAGAGAAAAATTATATTTAATATATTTATGTAATTTCCTAAAATGTAATTTATTAAAAAAGATCATTAATAAATTTTTTGTTATACCCAATTTGCCCTTAGTAACCACGGTGATTACTATAAAATAGTAATCACCGTAACCTGTCCCCTCATCAGGGTTTTTTTTTTTTAGATAAGGGTGATATAGGTTTACTTTTTGTGATTTGGTAGGTACTACTGAAGGGATTTGAACCTGTGTCCTCTAGGTTCAAAGCTAGTGGTATTACCACTAGACCAAACCCTTGTTCGTCAGGGTTATTATGTAATGGTGAAATAAATTAGAATGATTATTCTTCTTATTAACTTCTGTACAGTATAATAAGATTCTCACAAAGGAACTTTGGCGCATAAAAAGTGGTTGTGTGTATGTATTTTGAAGGCTGCTGACTTTACAATAATGTTGTGAACTCACAAGGCTATATTAACGAAAGGTAAAAGAAGGATAGTATTTATCATAAACACATAACTAGTTTATAGGCACGTAAATTTTAATTAGGGTTTGTGTAGAGGTGGTAGGTAGAAAAAGGGAGGAGGAGAATATTTATTTGCATGGTCAAAGAAGTTAAAGGTAGGGGTGAGAAACTTCTCGCTACCCTTTTAAACTTTTCCCACGTCTTGCAAAGTGGGTATTTTGCAGAAGATAACATGGAAGGTTTTCTCTGGTGTATATTGGACTAGTTTTGCCCGCTTTTAGATTTTGTAGAAGTAGCTTCTAGCTGAAAGAATTTGTATTTAAATAAAAATTGAAAACAACAAAAATTGTGTGCTGGACTTATTTCTAACAATATGCTTTTCTACTTATTGCTAACTTGTGCAGCAATTGTATTTTCTTTGACAACGTACCAGTTAAAAGTTAGAGGTGACAACTGACAATACAAGTTTCTTCATGGAGCCTAAATGTAAGTCAAGGACAACCAACCATCCCCAACAATTTTGTTGCTGAAACAAGATAGCTACATTAACACGATATTGTCCGCTTTGGATCAAATCAACATAAATTTATTTTTGGGTAATTTTTCTAAAAGGACTCGTACTAATAAGTTTGGTGGACACTAATATACTTAGGTCATACGAACTTTGTGTCAATTTTTATTTTTTAGCGACTGTCTTGATCCGCTATACCATATATAGATCACCTTAGATCTACCAGACTAATGCGGATCTCCCTTGATCCGCCAAACAGACGGAGATCCCAAATCACGAGGTCACTGAATGAGGGTCCCATCGAACTTATGTTCACTGCCCTGGACCGAATCTGAACCATGCTCTAATGTCACTTGATGAGATCGGATAGCTTCATTAGTACGATATTGTATGCTTTGGCCTAAGCCCACATGGATTTAATTTTTGGATATCTTCCCCACAAGGCTTGTACTTATGAGTTTGGTAGAGACACTTACAATATACAAAAGGGTCATTTCCCTTGTATTTCTGATATGGTACTTGGATTGTACTATAAGACTTGCCCAATAGGAAGAGAAACAAATAGTTAGTCTATTATGCTACTAACCGTTAAAATTATATAGTATAGGTACCCTTGTATACATTATAATTGTAAAGTAGTCATTTATCGTCGTCTAACGCATTAGGGTTTGTATCGTATACCACGTTAAATATTGGTGTTGTTGTGTTCAGTTTTTAGCTTCTTTTACACTAATTAACGGGTAGCCCTATATTAAACATGCACAATCATTTAATTACTTGTGACCGACTTTTTTGTTTGTACCAAACACGGGTATCGTTGTAGTTCAAATACTTGCATTGTGTAATTCCCGAACAAGTGATCTTTGTACAAGAAAGAGAAGCAAAAATGGGTTTGAAGGGTCGATTTTCTTTGTTGTGGGCAATGGGATCGATGGCTACTGATGGTTATGGCTCCTTCACTCGTGTAGCATATGGAGCTTTGGGTGGACACAGTAGTACTCTAACTTCCATCGACATTGATCAGCAACACTGTCATCAGCTGAATCATATGTTCTTTGAGAAATTAAGAAGGCGAAGAAGAAAAACAGACAACTAGCTGGAATAGAATTGCTATAGGTAGCTTGATCTAACACGATGAAACGACGCTGACCCCTCCCTCATCAGAGCCGACCGCCTTTTTCTGTGTTACATATGTGTTTGTCAATTGACATTAATGACATAATTGATGCTAACCAATTATTTATATAGTCGGCATCACGTAAAAATAGTGATTTCTTATGAGGCGAGTTATCGTGATAATTCAACAATTTCTTGATTTATATATTAATTAATTAAGCCCGTAGTTAATTATTATTTTCTATATTAATATGATCTATTTGTTGATTTTGACTTCCTTTTTGGTGTTTGTTTAGGAAATATTTCTAGTGTCCTTGTGGGATAAGTTGTCATATTGTATAACTATATATATTAAGAAGAAATTGTATAAACCACTTATGATTTGAATGCTTCGTCAACATATATGCTAAAACGATCATAGTGATCTTCGTGGCGTGGAGACAAATTAATTAAATTTGGGTGCACATCTATGTAGTAGGGGTCATGTTCTCTAGAAACATCATACATCTAAGGTCAACTTCCAATAAGATACGATACTCATACCCATAATGATAGAGAATATGACTGATTGTTAATGTCTACTATCTAACTATATTACATGCTACGATTTGGTAATATGATATTATTCTGAGTAATATTTCTTCTTACTAACTTGTGACAGGAAAAAAAAAGGTACAATGCAATATTCTTGTACATACTTTATTTTTTCGTGCAATTCCATCAAATTATCACACAATTCAACTTATATTTACTAAAATAACTTATCTTTTTGTGTAATCTACTTATAACCACCAAATAGTCTTTTCCATTACATCTCATCAACCAATCATCGATCTCACGAACAACTTGTTATGACTTGATATCGTCGTGGAATCAAGTTTTCTAACCAGCATACATGAACCACTTGAAACTGGACTATATATGTATGTGCCCAAAGAGACTAGACAAATATACATCTTTCTTGAAGTTGTGAGAGCCCAAAAAACTAAACAGTAAACGTACCTTGGTAATTATTGATCTAGGATTAATAAACCCAAGGTTATATAGTACCATTATTATCACTTTTAACAAGGGGAAATAAACATATAGCTGGATGGAAAAGAAGGCTATACATATATGTGTGGAGGTGAAAGGTGTATAATAATGATGCCATGTGCAAAGTATATAATTTTCCTTTTTCTTTGGGAAGGAATCACAAGGAGAGGCTTCAGTATTATTTTTATTTGACTGAACTTTCTTCCTCCCCTTCTCTGCCCAATCTTTTCATTTACAGCCAGCCCAGCCAGCCAGCCATCATATCCCCATCGCCCACTTCTCTCTCAATCTCTCCCCATCTGTCTTTCTTTCTTCCTATCTATCTTTCTTCATCCTCCTCAGCAGCAGCAACAACTTAAGTTCACGTTTCATATATAGCTAATAGTAGTTTAAGTTTAGCTAGCACACGTACCAGCTGCTGGTTTGGATTGGTGGAGTAGTTAGGTTAGGTTAGGTAGGTGGGAGTATGGGAAGATCGCCATGCTGCGACAAAGTAGGGTTGAAGAAAGGGCCATGGACGCCTGAAGAGGATCAGATGCTCTTGGCTTACATCGAGGAGCACGGCCATGGTAGCTGGCGAGCCTTGCCTTCCAAAGCAGGTAAGTGCGCTGATTAGATATGGATACCGCGATGATCATAATGGAACTCTAATAATGTGTACTTGTGGTATGAATGTATGTTATGTGTTGTGAATTTTAAGGTCTACAACGGTGTGGGAAGAGCTGCAGGCTTCGATGGACAAACTATCTGAGGCCAGATATCAAAAGGGGTAAGTTCAGTTTGCAGGAAGAACAAACCATCATTCAACTCCATGCCCTCTTGGGTAACAGGTACTATACATACACCCTTTCCTCTTCTTCATCTTCGTTGCTTGGCAGTTGTGAGTATAAAATAACGTAACTATAATGTAAATTCATATATTTAGGTGAATTCTGTCGATTTTTCCCCCCAGATGATGAATTTTGAAGTATTCTAGGTTTGATGTGATCCTCCTTGTAAAAATGTGTTGGTTTTTTTTCCACACGAAAGTTGACTCTTCATCTCTTTTTTTTCTCTACACCAAAATTATTACAACGTTCTTCATTTCAATTTTGCAACAAGAAGTGATTCGTTAATATATCTTTCAACAACCCGAATCATTCCAAATTTATAATCTAAATTGTGATTGAGCAATCTTATTTTTTTTTCCCCCAGAAAGTCTTGTTTACTTGTCGGTTCATAATTTCGAGTTTGTGTAAAGTATAGGTTCCATAAATTCCGAGTAAGCTACAAGTGTGCCATCTACCTAGCTAGAAGTCTTGTCTATTCCATCTTCCCATTTTATCTGAGTCCTACTCCATTCATTAACCACCACTCTACAAGGTCGCATCACATGGAGAAATATACGTAAATACTGCTAAAAAACAAAATTGATGTTAGCTAGCTTACTACTTCCTCTCATTTATTACGACCGAAAGAAACTACTCCTACTCAATCTGGCTGAGTTTATACTATTCTTCAACTCTCATTTACTTCTCACTCTGACACCCACATCCCAATAATGCAAACTCAAGTTGGCCCTCTCGGGTTTTCCACATGGTAAAAAAATGTTTTACACCGTTTGGTAAACAGGGAAAAACGAATTTGTTTCTTCTTCTTTTTTTTTTTTTGTTGATATCCTTGATCTTGATCTTTCAAGGTGGTCGGCCATCGCGACGCACCTGCAGAAGAGAACGGACAACGAGATAAAGAACTACTGGAACACCCACCTGAAAAAGCGGCTGACCAAGATGGGGATCGACCCGGTGACTCACAAGCCGAAGAACGACGCCCTCCTCACCACCCAAGCCGGCTCCAACTACTCCAGCTCCAAGAGCGCCGCCAACCTCAGCCACATGGCTCAGTGGGAGAGCGCCCGACTCGAGGCCGAAGCCCGCCTCGTCCGCCAGTCCAAGCTCCGCTCCCACTCCTTGCTCGCCACCTTGGCAGCAGCCGGATCCAGCTCAGCAACCGCCACGTCACTCAAGTCCTGGTCCCCTAGCAGCGGTATCAACGTCCACGTGGACCTCGAGTCTCCCACGTCAACTCTCTCCACCGCATTGCCGGGGAATCCGATCAGTAGTAGTGATCATCATGAAGACGATCGTTCTCCGTCAATCCCGCACATGTTCGAGTTCATCAAGGACGTGTCTCATCGTCAGCATGACGATGAGAGTGATGACTGGACAGTGTGCCAGCTGGCAGCTGATCACCATTCGTCAATAAATGATCATCATAATCATCACATTAATGCTGTTGCTAGTGGAGGTACGATTTCCTGCGGCAGCTCCATGGAAGCGGGGGGGTGGACTCTCAATAATAAAGAGAGTAGTAATGATGACGTGGCGGAGGAGGGTTTCATTAGTCTTTTGCTGTGTGACTCGTCGACGGCGGGAGGTGGGGATCATCAAGAGCACGGATGCAGCAGCGAGGTTAATAATAACTCGGAGGTTAGTGGTGGTGGTGGTAGTGGTAATGGTAAGAATAGTAGTAATAAGGATTCGTCGGAGAACAACAGCGGGAGTACGACGACGACGACGACGAATGAGCATGAGTATTACGAGGACAAGAATTACTGGAATAGTATTTTGAATTTGGTCGACACTTCTTCTCCGTCTCCTGATGGCGATACTCCCATTTTTTAAGCTAGGTTATCAATCGCCATTGTTATAACTAGCTATTTCGTGTTCCATGATTTCCAAGGTTTAAATTTCGTTGTCCATTATTGTCTCCATTGTTGTTGATTGGATGGGGTGAGTGAGTGAGTGAGATATTTCGTGGAGGTGTAGTGTATGCACGGCTGCTGGTACTGTGTAATAATTAATCAGCTACCCACAATCACTATTCACTATTACCGTTTTTAATATTGGACCACTATGATTAATCAATTAATTTGGTGGTCCTAATTTTTTAAGTTTGTTTTCAAGTTTTTATTTTATCTGAATCGCTATTCGAAATCAGGCTCCCCTCCCCTGCTTTTATAATTAAAACGAGGGTTAATTTTTGTTAGGTAAATAAGGGAAATGGATGGTTAACCAATTCAGAATTCAGATTTATGAAACAAGTAAATATTTGGAGAAGGATTCATTAGCTTTGGAACAATGGAACCTAGTACTCCAAGGTAGTCTGCAGGTGGGCTTAAGTTACGATCTGGCCCAATCAATGTAAGATTGCTGGATTTCAAACAATACCGAGCCCAATGTTGTCTCAAGCCCGCACAAGTTTCTTCCTGGGTTGAGTCCAGTTATGGGACTAGAACGTTGTCATCATGCATGTATAAATCCAAAGAAGCTTATCGATGTCATAACACAAGGGGGGGCAGGCTTGGGCAAGGCAAACAAATTAAAAAGGCGGAATCTTCTGAATTCTTCCACCTTGATCTCTCCGAGTAAGAAGGGTTTAACAATAAGTAAGGTCATGTTCAGAAGTAAAATAGTCTTATATGGCAGACCTATTAACACTCATAGTTGGTTTGCTTGTAGGCAGGGGCGGAGTCAGGATTTCGAGATCGGGGGCGGAAAATAATTAAACAAAATGTATGTAGTCAAGGTGGATCAAACCCGTGTGTTATAAAACACAAATCAAGTTTGGTTACCATTAAATCACATGACTATTACACAAAATTCACGGAACAAGTTCTACTTATAAAATTTGTACTAAATATCTTTACGATCCTAGGGGCCGGGACCAATCCGGAGGGGGGGGGGGGGGGGCGGGCCCACCCTAGCTTGAGTGTAGCTCCGCCTCTGCTTGTAGATTTTTTTTTAATGAGGGATACAGGATTTTGGGATTATATTGGAATTTGATATTTAGAATTGTTTGTTGGATTTTAAAATGAATTTATCATTTTTGAATTTATTGGTTAAAAGATGAATTTACCTTCCTATCCTTAATGAAGTATTAATTGTTTTGTCCATATATAATTTGTTAAATAAGAATTTTCGCCATCTGTATTTCAGCATATGGAAAATACACCTAAAAGGTAAAAGTGCGCATCTGTATTTCAGCATCTGTACCTCGGAGTCCTTTGGTGTTTTCTTGCGGGGCTCAATGGCATGCCGCATGCCGAGCTAACCGGTTTCACGGCCGCCGCACAACTAATTCCTGGCGTTGATCATGGATGGCCGTCATGCCGCCATGATTCTGGTTTCCATTCCCATTAATTAATTAACCGGCGGATTCAAATCGAGTTTACTTTGAAAGTTATTGATCATTGGTTCGGATTCTGGTTGGGTTTGAGAATATCAATCAGTAAAGGAAATAGGGGAGACAATAAACAAGGTGTCTCTCTGAAATCTAGCCAGCTCGATATAATGGGAGCACGGATGAGTTACGTATAAAATACGTATGAGTATTTTCAGTCACTTTTAAACTAATGGTATATATGAGAGTAAGTCAAATGTAGTAACATATGTGAAATTAATTCATCATAGACCACAAAATCGTTAAAATATTTGAAAATCATAAGATTTAAAGTATTAAAATCGTGAATAGTATAAGATTTTAAGGTCCATAGATTTTATAGTGAAATCGAGATTGGGACATGTAAGTAATATCATAAAATCGTAAAATTTTAGCATTTAAATTGAAATCTTAACTAAACTCACATCATATTCATAAGAACTCTAACGCTAGTAGCATAAATCGTTAAATCCCCCTCTTGATCAATGATGTATAATTATAGCATATATATCTCTATGTATCTATCAAGCCCAGATCTCATATGATTTGATCCAAATCAGGTACGCCAGCAGATTTATATTTCTTAAGGCCAAAGGGAATGTATGTCTACAAATTAATTTCTCAAGCATGCCCTACCGTACCCACTTGGTAGGCAAGAGAGAATTCTTTGGTTGGCGTATTTTGCGGGCAATTCACATGCTAAGATCCAAGATTAGGGAGCACTGATTGCCAATTGATTAGTATTATAAGTCTAAATCAAGTACAGTTTTAGAAAGGATTTTCCAGTTACAATTTCATTCCCTTTTCTGCTTCCTTCAACATCTCCATCAACTTTGCTGAATATTAATGAACAATAATGTAAATATATGACAAGTGCTCAAACAAATACAGTTTCGTTTTGTCTCTCCCATTGTCACACTGTATATATTCATGTGAATTGAGTCTTAATTTGTTGATCTTGAAAGATGTTCAATGATTAAAAAACTGATTGTACCGGTGGTTCGACCAAAAAAATTCTATCGGAAGCGAAATTTGTAGGCAGTGTTTAGCGGTATAAAACGGTTGAACCACAGTTTCAACATAAAATACCCTATCGATCATTGATTTTTTTGTGAGGAGGTTAATATTTATCAATAAAAATAATTTATTGTAAGCCTGAAATAAAATGTCCTTCTTGACCGTTCAATACATCTAGGGTTAACCACGACAGTTCACTCACTTCATATTTAACCACTCAACTTGCTGTGTTACACTGAGATAAAAATACATACAAAATACATGTAACAATTGTTTAATAGTTCACCAGAAGGATAAAAACGAAGACAAGAAAGAGCAAATACTTCATTTGATCCATATTCAAGCTGGATTATTTATGTTGTAGAATAATTACCCATGCAGATGACCTGAGAAAAAACATATATGCCTATAATCACTTGTTAGAAAAAACATAATTTAGTTGAACGAATATATAAATGGTGCACATATTTTACATACAATTTTTTTTTAGATAAGGGTGACACACTACGGGAAAAGTGACTTTTAGCAACACTTGTCTTGCAACACTTTTTAGACGTGTTGCATAAAATAAAAATACGCAACTTTCAGCATGTGTTGCTTAATATGTATCTTATGTAACACAAATTAGCAATACTTATTATTTTGTTGCATATCTCTAATAATATGCAACACTTGTGCAATAAAATAAAATCTGTTGCCTATTCTTACATTTTAGGCAACGCTTAATTAGAAAAGTTTTACAAATTATCATGGTTCAAAAAGACGCACTTCGTCTTATGCTCAGGCACACCTAGACGCTCTGAGCTAGGTCTCAACACTATAATGAAAATTTTGTCCCAAAATATGATATTGTGACACAATTCTGTCACAAAAAACTTAATTTTATGACAAAATTCCTTTCACAAAGTTATAATCTGATTACTTAATTATTCCTCCCAAGTATATATAAAAGCTCGTTGGTTTGATTAATTTATACAATTATACTTAGTTTTTTAATGTATAAAATATTTTTGGTGTTTAATGCATAAAATATTAAGACTAAAATAATTATTTTGTTATACTATTATACGCCAATAAAAAGTTGTTTATGTAAAATTTTTTTTTTTTGACGGGTAACCTGTAGAAATATATTAATCAGAAAGCGACAGTTGCATCATCCAGGATAAGCTGGTCTACAAGGAAAATCGGTGGTCTATCGATCCACACTTCTCTGCTATCCCATCTAGTCTCACTATGCGCCATGATATGTGCTGCGTTGTTTGCTTCCCGTCTCGCATGCATGATATCGACCCTACCTGAACTCGTTTCCTGTAGGAGGTTTATAATTCGCCTGGAGATGACCCCAAGCTCCGTATGAATGCTATCCGGGTGTCGAAGCTTCTCAACCAGAGGGAGACAATCTACCTCGAGCAGCAGGGACTGGAAACCGAGCTGGTGCGCAAGTTGGACGCCAAACTCCGCAGCAAGGGCTTCAGCCATCTCCACCTCGAAAGATCCACGGACCTTCTTTGCTGCAGCCGCTAAGAAACGACCCTGATGGTCCCGAAAAACGGCCCCGAGGCCTATACCACCTGCCGCAAAGATGCCTGCATCTGTGTTCACTTTGATCTTTCCTTCACCAGGTCTCGCCCAGGTTGCAGCCGAGCGGGTGTCATCCTCCACTCCCTCCGGCCTTTGGTTTTTACTATATTCGTCCAGGAGGGTCATTGCTCGCATCACTATCTCATCCTCGGGCCACTTCGTGCTGTTGAAAAGTTGGGCATTCCGCTCCTTCCAAATAGCCCATAGTAGCATCGCCCATTGCTCCAAGATAGTTTGGCTCTCCCGCTTCATCACCTCCGCCACCCAAGACCGGCAATCTGGTACGCCTGTGATGCCAAAAGCGCTCGCCCAGGGTGTCCCTCGCCATAACCTGCAGCTCCAGCTACATTCAAAGAAAATATGACGTTGTGTCTCTGTCGCATCGCAGAAAGGACACTTCTCTGACCACCTCGGGTTTTTTGCTGCCGCCTTCACACCGGTAGGGAGGATTTCCCTAGAGAACCGCCACATAAAATGGCGAACTTTGGGAGGGACTTGCATTCTCCAGATCGTCAACCAGAACTTCTCGTCGCCCACCGGGTTAATGCCTTCCGCTGCCATGAATTGTGCGAGCCACCGACGATACCCGCTTCTAGTCGTAAACTGACCATTCTCGCTATGTCGCCATATAAGGCGGTCTGGCTCCTCCGCTCCCCTGAGGGGTATTGATAGCACTGTTTGAGCTGTAGTCTCCGGGAAGCACGAATTGACCAACTCCACATCCCAGCCATTTGTAGAAGGGTCGATAAGATCACGTACGGTCGAGTCCACCGGCAAGATCGTCGGGGTAGAGGGAATGAAAGCAGGGTCACCAGGCAGCCAGTGATCACCCCAAATCCGCACCTGGGCTCCATTGCCGACTCTCCATCGAAGACCATCACACAAGAAGTCTTGTGCGCTGAGCAAGCTCCTCCAAATGTAACTCGGTCTGCTTCCCAACCTCGCATCCAGAATAGAACAATTTTTATGGTATTTTGCTGCTAAGATCTTGGAAATAAGCGCCTCAGGTCGTTGGTGAAGAGACCATAACTGCTTAGCCAGTAAGACCAGGTTAAAGCCTCGGAGGTCCCTGAAACCCAGGCCGCCATCCTCCTTCATTGTCACTAGCTCCTCGCGTCGAATCCAATGAGCCCTTCTTTCTGTGTTCTTTTGACCCCACCAGAAGTTGTTGATCAAGCTGTGAACTTCATCAATTAGCCCGTCTGGAATCTTAAACACGGACATAGCATATGTCAGCTGAGCTTGAGCGACCGATTTAATGAGCACTTCCCGCGCAGCTACCGACATCATTCGCTCCTTCCACCCTTTTAACTTCGATCGAACACGCTCCTTCAGGCCCGCAAAAAGGTCCTTCTTGGCACGTCCCACTTCAGTCACCAGCCCAAGGTACTTCTGGTGCTTCTCTACTGGCTTCATTCCCAACGTGCCACTTGTGATAAGCCGACTATGGGTTTTTACATTGGCTGAGAACGAGACCTCTGATTTTTGGAAATTCACCATCTGTCCCGACTCAAGTTCGTATGCATGGAGGATTTCTTTCAGCACCGCGCACTCCTGCTGATTTGCCCTGCCAAAAAAAATACTATCGTCAGCGAAAAAAAGGTGGGAAATCACCGGGGCTCCCCGATTCACCTGCAACCCATGCAACCGTTTTTCTCCCACCGCCTTGGTTGTATAGGTCGATAACCCCTCCGCACAAAGCAGGAAAAGGTATGGTGAAAGCGGGTCACCCTGCCGGATCCCTCTGCCCGGGGTGAAGGTTGGAGACTGATGACCATTCACCAGGACAGAGTAGGACACGGAGGTCACTCCCATCATGACAAGCTGGATCCATCGTTCCTCAAAACCAAGCCGCCGCATCACCCCCTCCAAGAACTGCCACTCCACCCGGTCATAGGCTTTGGCCATATCAATCTTTGCCGCAAAGAAACCATGCTTCCATCGTTTGCTGCGCTTCATGGTATGGAAGCACTCAAAAGCCGCCATGATGTTATCCGTGATAAACCGCCCTGGGATGAACGCGCTCTGCGAGGGGGAGATGATTTTGTCCAGGAGTGGTTTAAGCCGATTAGCCAAGATCTTTGACACCACCTTGTACAGCACATTGCAGAGACTAATGGGTCTAAAGTCCTTCGGTGTAGCCGGTTGCTTTACTTTAGGAATCAGAGTTATAAGCGTATGATTGAGCCCCGCCGGCATAACACCCGTATTCAGAATCTGAAGAACTGCCTGCGTAACATCCTCGCCTACAATGGCCCAGTACTTCCGAAAGAAGAACACAGATAAGCCGTCAGGACCAGGAGCCTTTCGTTTTCCCATCTGCTTCAGAGCATTCCACACTTCTTCCTTCTCAAAAGGTCTCAATAACGTCGCATTATCATCCGCCCCGACCTTCTGCTGAAGTGACTCGAGGACCGGCCAGGAAGAGGGAGCCGCCCCTGCAGTAAATAAAGAACCATAGTAATCAACCAGGCAACTTGTAATCTCATCTTGGCTCGTGACCCAGCGGCCTGTCTCATTGCGGATTTTCTTGATCATGTTCCTTCTTCGTCTCGCGGAAGCTTTCCTATGGAAAAACCCAGTATTCTTATCACCTGACCGAAGCCAGTCAGCCCGGGAACGCTGCTTCCAGTACCTTTCTTCACTATCAAGCACATCTGCCATCTCATCTTCAAGTACTCGCAACTGGGCCAAAGTTTCCTCCGTCTTATCCCTTCTTTCCAAAGCACGGATGGCCCTCTGTAGCTTCTTCAACTGTTTTGCAAACGCCGAAAAAGTCGTCCGGCTCCAGCTTTCCAGTTCTCTTCTGCAGCACTCCATCTTATCAAAGACTGCATTCGAATGAGAACTATTCCATGCTCGCTCAATCGTCGCGGAACAGTCTTTGTGTTTTGTCCACAGAGGGTCAAAACGGAAAGACCACCCCCATTTCACATCCACATCCTCCTCTCCTCTGGTTTCGCAGAAAATCGGGCGATGATCAGAGTGAGCTCGATCCCCATGTTGCACTCTTCCATTCGGGAAGAGGGTACTCCACTTGTCATTAACAACAAAACGATCAATCCGCTCTTCGATGTATCCTCCTACCGCCCGCCTGTTTTCCCATGTAAAGGGGTAGCCATGGAACCCCATGTCTTGGCACCCAACATCATTCAAGCAATCGCTAAACATGGTCATCCCCGCTTCGTGAGCGCCTCGGCCACCTCTTTTTTCCTCTGTGGAGAGCACCTGGTTAAAGTCACCTCCGCACAGCCAGGGTCCATCCCACTGGGTTCGTAGACGTCGCACCAGCTCCCACGTTCTCCACTTATCTCCTCCCTCAGGCCACCCATAGACACCTGTAAATCTCCACTTGCCCTCCGTTGCCTCCTCGATAGCTGCATCAATAAAATGGAGGTCAGAATCCATAACGGTTAGTTGCGTATCCTCCTTCCACCAGAGACATATTCCCCCCGCGCGGCTCCTAGGAGAGATTATTGCCGGGACACTCGTTCCACACTGGTAACCACATAAACCACGAAGAGTTTCATTTTCAGCTACAGTCTGCTTTGTCTCCATAAGGAAAACTACAGCTGGGGAAGATCGACGCAATAGCGCCTTCAGAGCATTTACTGACCGCGTATTCCCCAACCCGCGGCAGTTATGGCTCAGGATCTTCATTTATGACCAGAAGGGGATAGGCTCCCCGCGCCCTTCTTGCTGTCACCTGTCTTACTGTTTGCTTGAACTTGTTTCGCCTTTTCCGGACCAGGACCATTATGCTTGGGTTTAGGTAGAGTAAATCTTTTATCCTGGTTTGCTTGTCGGCCGTGAGCGCTCTTACTCGGTTGGTCAGTAAGTCGCCCGTTCTTACCCGATCCCAGCTCTTTGGTTGACACTACTTCTGCTTCCACAGGGACGCTCGACGATGGTTTCAGCGAACTTCCCTGACCAAATTCGCCCTCTTGGGCCTTAGTGACTCCCTCTCCAGTATCCACGTGCATGGATGTTGGATTTTGTTCCCCTGCTTCATGCGTCACCGGTGATCCTAGGTTAGGAGTCCTCGTTTCCACAGCCGCTCCGAGCTGCGATGCTTCCTTATCCTGTGCAGCATGGGAGCCCTGCTTCTCGGCAATATCTTCATCAACCAATATTGAAAATCTTGACCCTTGAGTCTTGTCCACTCCTAGTGAGGTATCATGTTCGTTCGAGCTGGGAACTTTTGTTGGTCCTTGATTATTTCTTTTAGCGCCTCGTCCACGCGGTTGCACTACCATCCATTCACCATAAGTGCTGGTTGGTTCTTTGTCAGTAGCTACCTGTGAGTCTGGCTGAGCCGGGGCTGGCTCCTTAAAGAGCTTCGGACACGTGGCCTTCGTATGCCCATACTTCCCGCACTCGGTACAAATGCGGTGGAGGCCCTCATACTCCACATAGTAGGTGAGTCCCTCGATCTTGAACTTTGATAACAATGGCTTGGTCAGGTCCACCTCAATGTTGACCCGCGCGTACTTGCCTCTGTCTCCTGTCTGTGTTGCTCGGTCCACACGGACTGGTTTGCCAATCTTTTCCGCTATGCGTTCCACTGCTTCTTTGTTGATGAACTCCCTTGGTAGACCCGGGAAGCGAGCCCAAACCATGGTGGAGGCTACCTCTGCCATCTGTGGATTGAAGTTTTTCCGCCACGGCCGAACTGTGATGTAAAAATCACCTATCATCCAAGGGCCACCCGCCGCTGCTGTTTCGTAGTCGATCTGGCTGGTAAAACGTACTGCGTAGAAGCCGAAAGACAAGCTTGACACCTGAATACTCCCACATTTGGCCCACAGGACCTCCAGTCTACGCGAGATAACAGGGAACGCAAAGGTTCTCCCCAGCACTTTGACGATAAGGGCGGAGCGCCATTCCCGACGCCAGCGCTGCTTTTCCATTGCCGTATAAGCGATGGTCGGACAGAGTGGATCGTCGTCTTCTGGGATCTCATCATCGAGATCATCCTCCTTCATGGCGGCAGCTACGTCTTCAGAATCCGATTCCGCAACGTACCATTCTTCTACCTGAGAGTGGGCGGTAAAAATCTTATGTGAACCAGTGTTCCATGCATTAGGGTTAACAACTTGCTCCTGCGTAGCCTCTTCTTCTTCCATAGAGTCCGACGGCGGTTCCATGACCACATCGTCCTTTGCTTTTTCTTCCCTAAAGAGAGGGTTGTCCCTCATTGGTTTTGCTTTCTTCTTCGGTTGTTGGGTTTCGCGATCGCGCTTGGAATCAGGGGAAGATGTCACTGGTGGGGGGCGACGCGCCCCCGCATTCGAGTCCGACGAGCCGCCGTCCGGGGGGAAAGCCCCCGGTGCCGGCGCAGCCATAGGGGTCGCAGGAGAACCAGTAGCAGCTCGGTCAGAGGAAAATCGCCGCTCCGGGAAAATCGGAGCTAGGGTTTTCAGTTTAGTCCAACTATGTTTATGTAAAAAATCAGTAAACAAATGGTTTTAGTTACGTTGTTAAGAAAAAGGTATTAATTAGCTGTACACGGAAAATCATATCTGCAGTAAGGATAATCACATACTTCCCTCTTAGACTAATATATTCAGAAAAAGGAAACTAATTAATAGTTAATCCCGGATTTTTCTCTCAAATATCTCCCTATGCTTTCAGCGAGGAAAGCCCGTTCAAAATTCATCATCTCCTCCCTCCGTCTCTGCCTGGCTTTGACTTATATCATGATTCCCAATCTCGGCCGCTTCTACAAAGTCTCGATCCAGATGCATAACCAGTTTCATTGAACACTTCCGGTAAGTCAGCACGAGATCCTCTTTTTCTTCTTCTTCCTTACACGTCGATGCTGCTCGAGCATACATTTTCCTCTCCCTTCTATTCATTTTTTTCCGACTATTTCTATTCTTTATGAAACAAAATCTCCAATTTCTTGAGAAACTAAGAAACAACCATTGACATTTGAATTTTCTTGTTAACTGGTTATCTTCTTGTTTCAGTTCTCTATTTTGGGGCTTTACTATCATTGTAATTTACAGGTTTGAAGTAGTTCTAGCGAGCTATTCATTCAAGAAACAACTGAAGGAATTAAGGCCAGAGGGAGTTGCGAGTAGGGTTTCATTAAAAGGTTCTCGCAAATTTAGTTGAGTAGCGGTGAAGACGGCATGGAAATAAACAACTGATAATTGACGCTCTCGCCTTAAGGAAGTGAAGAAGAGAAGTGTTGCCGTTTGAAAGAATTCCACTGAGTTGCCAATTTATCTAAAGAGATTCAGAATGTTTTTTTGGTTAGTTTAATACTGTTTAGTTCATATTCATAGAGAGATTGATGTTCATCAAAATATTTATCTTTTATTGATTTTTTATAAGTCGTCACCGATATTGTCGTATGTTATAAAAATAGTAGTCACAAATGTGTTCTTTCAAGAAAAAGACCCGATAATTTAAAGTATAATTCGACTAACAAATAAATTGTGACCAATGTTATTGCAATAAAAATAATAAATTTGTCACCAAAAGTTGAATTTGTGGCACTAATACTGTCACGAAAACCTCCTTTTATCACAATAGTATCGTCAGAAGTGTGACTCGCTTGTGAGAACCTAAATCGGTGACAGTTGGAATACATTTAGTGATGGGAATAACTCGTCACAAGTGTATGGTACTTGTCACAAGTTAAAGTTGTCACGATTGAATATGTTTTATGTGATAAAAAATGGTAGCGAATAAAGCATATACGTGTCAGTTATACTAATTCAAAAGTGTTGCCTAAATTGGTGTTGCATATGAGTACCCATATGCAACACATATTTTTTTTGTTGCATAATGTAAAACAAATGTTACATATGACTTTATACAACACCACCTATAGAGGACACTACTAAAAGTGTTGCATATCGTATAGGCAACACTTTAGGCACTACTTGCAACACATTTGTAGTGTTGCCAAAAGCCACTTTAGGAAATTGAATTAATAACTCTTATGGGCTACGTCATCCGCTAGTAAATTGGCCTCACCAAAAAAAAAAAAAAAACATGTACAACTCTCGTTTCGACAATCTCTAGCTTGATGCTCTTGAAAAACCAACACACTGCTTGCGTGTTGATGATCAACCGAGTATCTGGAGAAAGGAGGTGAACCAACCACACTGTGGAGACGCGACCTTCCTGTAGCCATTGTCGCAACCAAGTTGAAGACCCTTGAGTGCACCCCAAATTGCTTATGATCCGCACAAGTGTGGTTGCACATTTTTCTCAGGTTTTTTTTTTTTTTTTTTTTTTAGTAAGCCCACATAACAAGTGGTCTAAAACATACTGTTACATTTTTGTCTTTATCATTGTCGCAACACTACACTCATGTGTGTGAATGTGTGGTCTTTGTTTCATCCATTTGTATAATTGCTAGCTAGATTCCAATGGCACAAACAACTGCCCAAACCATTTACAGATTTTGCAAAACCGCTTTTATTTGTGTGTGCATGTATAATTAAGTACGAAAGTCAGTAGCTAAATCATAGACTGCTTAGTTTTACTGTATAGCGATTCAGTAATTAATAGTGGGTAAGTAGAGGAGTATGTCGCCATTAGGCAACCACTTGCTTGCTTGCAGGATGACTTAATTCCAAAAAGCACCAAATAAACCATACCTCTGTTGAAAGAAAAGGAGTAGAAAACGACCCTCAATAAAGCCAAATTGGTGTTTAATTATTGACTAATGCAAATCTAATCAAGAAGACAACTCATTATCAGTCGATCGAATCTTGTCGATGGAGATTTATTTTTATGTATTCAAAGGAATTACAGTTGTGTATGTGTTGGCCTGCCCACAAACGGACGATTCTCTTTTCTAGCCCTATATAGTAATGTGATTCCTGAAGTAATCTTATTGCTCTTCCACTCTTCTTCTGTGCTTCAATTACGTACTCAAGAGGAAGGAACCCAAGAGAGAATCTTTTTCTCTTTCTCTCCCTCCGAGCGCTATATCTCACGTGCAAATTTCTGCAGCTCTTTTGGTTCTTTATTTCCCCTTGAAAAGCTGTCCACCTTTTCCTTCCCTGTCTTATTGCCCGAAAGGTGTTCGATCTTTTGCCTCTGAGAAGTAAGAACCAAAACCTCTCTCTCTCGCGGTCTCTCCGATCCCCATGGCGCTGGAAGCGGCGATCTTCTCGCAAGACCCCTTTGGTTACCCACCATTATTCAAGGACTACTATGGCATCGACGGCAAAATAATGTTCAACGATTCCATCCCCACTACTCCACCGCCGCCTACGCAGCAGGAGCCGATTCATGGAACCAGCAGCAGCAGCTGCTGGGATTGTTGTTATTACAATTACAACAATAATCACCACCACCACTCTACCTCCTCCCCCGATCCCTGCACCAACGGATTCGACGGCGCATTTTTCAACCCGCCGCCACCTGTGACGGCGGCGTCCGCATCCGTTCCCCCTGCAGCACGGCGGAAGCGGCGGCGGACCAAGAACGCCAAGAACGAAGAGGAGATAGAGAGCCAGAGGATGACTCACATCGCGGTGGAGCGCAACAGGAGGAAGCAGATGAACGAGTACCTCGCCTTGCTTCGCTCTCTCATGCCCTCTTCCTACGCTCAAAGGGTCAGCTTTTTGTTTGATTCGATTCTTCCCTCCGGCTTGAATCCTCAATTTTATTTTATTTTTGAAAAATGTGGGACTAAAAATGTAAATTTTTATACTTTCTGGGGATCAGGGAGACCAAGCTTCGATAATTGGAGGAGCAATTAATTATGTGAAGGAGCTGGAGCAGCTGCTGCAGGCCATGGAAGCTCAGAAAACGTCACATCATCAACAACATGCTCAAAACGACGACGGTCAGGCAGGGTTTACTGATAACGGCCGTTTGCCGTCGCCGTTATTTTCCGAGTTCTTCGCCTTTCCACAGTACTCAACTCGGAACCAGACCGTGCAGGCTCAGTCGTCGCCGGTAGCTTCTGGCGACGGGATGGCCGGCAGTTTGGGTGGTGGTGTAGCGAGGGAGGCGGCGGTTGGAGAGATTGAAGTGACGATGGTGGAGTGTCACAGTAATGTGAAGATTCTGGTCAGGAAACAGCAGAGGCAGCTAGTGAAGCTGGTTGCTGGGCTGCAGGGACTCGGGTTCACCATTCTTCACCTCAATGTTACCACGACCACCTCGGATCAACTGGTTCTTTACACGGTTAGCTTTAAGGTGGAGGAAGGGAGTTATTTGAACACGGTGGATGAGATCGCAGCTGCCGTCAACCAAATGCTACGGCGGATTAGTGAAGAAGGAAGTTGCAATCAAGAATGCTAGCTAGGTAGCTGCTTATAATTATCCTGATTTTGGTCGTGGTGAATTTACTTTGCGTTGTTTTCTTAGCAAATAGTAATACCTCTATTATTATTATTACGTGGACATTGTTGGGAATCTGTCAACAAAGTTAATAGTGAAGGTTTTTTTTTTAATGGTTAAATAGTGAAGGTTTTAGGTTTGTCTATTAGCTCAAAAATTCACGGTATACTATAAACGCATTTTTATTTAGTTAGTAATTAACCAAATTTCATTCCAATTTGTTTGTTTAAGAGTGGGTATAGAGAAAGTGTTAAAATTATTTTGGGGAGACAGTATATACTCTCAGGGCTTTTTTTTCAACAATAAAAACAAGCTAAATTTGTCCCATTGGGAATTTGGTTGTGTGGAGAACTGACTATGCATCAGAGGACTGGGCCAAACATATATAATTAGTTTATTTGTAAATATAACAACTTGTTGCAACAGACTTTTTAGTTAATTAACTGAATTGTGTATATATATATCGGAGGGAGATGATAAATACTCAATTGCTAAAAGTAAGTGAAGAATCTTATACATCCAGGTTTCCACCATGTCATCATCATACCATGGTCGGCGTCTCGGCGGCCAGGTGGCCTCTTTGACGTCTAGGTCCAGCTCATCTTTCACTTGAACTATGTATCAAGCTTAGGTTTCCGGTCTACCGGCGGGATGAAAATGAAATAGACAACAATATTATGTGCAATAATCAGATTGACAGAGTTATCTATTTGTTTTATTTTATGTCTCATGCTTGCTTTGAATTTGTGACATATACCACCTATTCGAATAGTGATTCATCTAGACTTTGATGAATAAAATGTGAGTGCCTCTTGATCACTTGTTTTATTCTTCTTTAAAGCATCCTCTCCAGCAAGAGAGAATTGAGAATCCTCTCGACAGAAATCTCGTAGACCTTTCTCAACAATATACCGCACATCTTACCATCACAAGAATGCCTTCATATCAATCATAGTTAGAAAAATACGGTACGAAAAAATTATGTATAAAATACATACAGGTATTTTACTTCGTTTCTAAACTAATATTACATTTAATATATAGTACATTAGCAGTCATAAATATATCAAATTAATTATTAAAAAAATAGTAAAATGAACAAATTAATTCATTAAATACGTATGTTAAACATATTATACGAGTTTTCATACGTGTTTAGTACGAGAGCCATCAAATCAAATGAACAGAAAAAATGAAACGGATGACAATAACACGGATATGAAATTTTTAAACGAATAAATTACATACAAGTACTTATAAGTGTATTAAACAGAGTATTTACTAACTATGACACCAATAGCCAAATCCAATCCTCTCTCGGTATGTTCCTTAAAAAATCCGATTCGTGCGAATTATTACTCCAACTAAGGAAGAGTTCTTGGCGAAATTGCCACATATGAAATTGAGCCTAATCTTGCAAAGAAATAGTCCAGCACCAGATGCGTCGATAAAAAATCATGATTGATAACAATTGAATAAAAATATCTTATCTTTTGATGTGGAAGTTCACACTCTAATACTGCTAAGCGTTGCTCTTAGTCTTAGTCATATAACTGGAAGTTGTAACATATCTATGCTCCAGCCAGATCTCATCATGTGATCTGATCCAAACCAGGTACGCCAGCAGATTTATATTTCTTAAGGGGAAAGGGGAATATGTATGTCTACAAATTAATTTAATTCTCATGCATGCCCTACCGTACCCACTTGGTAATGCAAGATCAGAATTCTTCGGTTGGCGTATTATGCAGGCGATTCACATGCTAAGATCCATGATTAGGGTACACTGATTACCAAATTGACTAATTAATTAAGTCTAAATCATATAGGATTTTAGAAAGGATTCCCTATTATAATTCTATTCCCTTTTCTGCTAGCTTCATCCAACATCTCTATCGACTTTGCTGATGTTAATTAATATGTAATGTAATCATATATATGTGACAAGTGCTCTCAGAAAGCTAATATTCGTTCGAGGATGTATGGAGAATAATTATGCATGCAGATGCAGTAGCAAAACCCTCCCTAAATCAAAATTCTGTGTCTCAGTTGATTAAGGTTAGCTTTAATAGGGGACAATTGAAAACTAGGGTAATAATCGGTTTGGTTTCGGTTAATCATTAACTGATATGACAGTTAGCGGTTAATCAATAAGTAAAAATACTCATATAGATAACCGAACCAATAAGTCTTATTGGTTAACCGTCTTTTATCGGTTCAATTAGCGGTGGCAGTTAACCAATAACCACTAATATACATTCAACAACAATGGTTATACCAAATACCGAACCAGTAAATTCAATTTTCTTGCACGAAATATAATATACCAAAGCAATAACCACTTGCATTGCACAAATCATCATCCAATTAAGTTTAACAAGTTCGTTTACATAATTTTCAATCCACAAACATAAAAATGACCAAGAATACTAAATACTAAAGACGAATAATCATACAAATAATTCAAAATAGTTTAACTACATTCTACATTGTTAAGAGAAAATAATAATTATACAAATTTATCAATACAACATTCATCGTGAATTCACAGTTTAAATCCAAATTCCAAAGCATAATATAAAAATAATCAAACTTATTCATTCAATTAACGAATAACAACTAGCAAGACATCAAATACTAACACCACATCATTATCATCATTAACATCAAAGAAAAAGAGATCATGAGGGTGTGAGTTTCACTCTACTATAATCTGCAAACGGGAGTTAAATTTTAAGGTTACAAATTAGGGTTTAAATTTTAAGATTTTGGGCTTAGAATATAACGTAATGGATGATAATTAGCTATTTTAAGAGAGAAACATATAGGGCTGTTAGCGGTGCGGTTTCGGTTTTAACCGAACCGCAACCGCGGTTAACCGCAGCCGAGTAACGTCCAAAAAGGCCAACCGCAACCGACACCGACGGCCTTGTCGGTTAGCCGAAAACCGCCGCCACGGTTTCGGGTCGGTGTCGCGGTTAGCAGAAGACCGACGCAGAGGGCGAATCTTGCCGGATTTCTGGATCTGCTGGAGACGTCGACCTTGCTGGGCGGTGTCGGGATGGCTGGATGACATCGGCTTTGCTGGGCAAGGTTGGAACTACTGGGCGACGTCGGCATTTTTGGGCGACGACGGAACTGCCGGGCGACGTCGGACTGCCGGGTGATGGCAGGACTGCGGGGCGACGATGGCGAGATGACTAGCGATGGGGGAATGGCGATGTTGACGATTACTGGGAGTCTGGGACTGCGAGAAGGAGGATGAAGGCGGCAGTGGGGAAGCCGAGAAGGGCGGTGGCGAGTGACGATGGGTCGACGACTGCAGCAGGGACTCCGAAGAGTCAGGGATGGTAGGGCACGCGGTTGTCTCGGTTTAACCGCCACGGTTTCGGTTTTCACCGATAACCGCAATCCTCTCTAATTTGCCGGTGACCGCCAACCGACACCGCCAACCGACACCGACGTTGCGGTTTTCGGTCTACCGAAAAACCGACGGTCTCGGTTCGGTTACGAGGTTAACCGGAAAACCGGCCACCGATTAACAGCCCTAGAAACATATATAGGTGAAAGAATAAATCGAGGTTAGGAGTGTGCAACAGTATTGTCTTGTTTGAAATCGGGCCAAATCCCGCTAGCCATGGGCGGAGTCAGTGTGTAATTGGGTGGAAACAGGGACCCACCTTCACAAGAAGGTTACGGTAATCTCTCACACTTTAAGTTTAAGTGAATTATTGTGTATTAATTTATTTATATTTTGTAAATGGATCCACTTTAATTGATTTTCTGACTACGCTCCTACCAGTAGTTATAAAACAACAGTAAAAAAAATTCAGGATCATAATTGGACCATCCATATATTCATTCCATTGACGAATTATGTTCGGAAAATTCATGAGACCGAGAACTTGTACGCAAACCGGATTTATGTGGGTACAATTGGTCCAATTTGGTCCCAAGTGAACCAAACTTTTGTACACTCTTGCGTCTCGGTAGAAATAAAGAATAATATTAAGCCAAATTGGTGTTTAATTATTGAGTAATGCAAAAATAATCAAGGACCTCATTATCAGTCAATCGAATCTTGTTGAATTACGACATATATATTTAGGGTACATGATATTCAAAGGAATGACAGTTGTTCTTGTGTAGTTTATATGCGTTTCTCCCTAATGGCGACATCCCAAGTCTGGCCCACACTCCCTGCCTTGTCGACCACAAAACGACAGTTCTCAATTTCTAGCCTTGTACAATAATAATGTGATTCCTGACTGAAATGAAGAGCTTAATTATTATGTTCTTTCTGTGCTTCAATATAATTACTCGGAGGAAGGAACCACATTCGCCGGTCCAATCTCCCAAGACCAGAGAGAATCTCTTTCTCTTTCTCTCCCTCTGAGGGCTATACAGAGTTACAGACGCAACCTCACGTGCAAATTTCTGCAGCTCTTTTGGTTCCTTCCCCTTAGAAATTAAAGCTTTCCACCTTTTCCCCCTTCTTCTTCTTCTTCTTCTTCTTCTTCTTCTTCTTCTTCTTCTCCGCAGGGAAAGGAAATGGAAGCGAGTTGATGATAAAAGGGGCTGCTTTTTTTGGTCAGTACTAACCGGCGGTTCTAGCTTTCTTCTCTCTTACCCTTCTGTTCTTAATTGGTTCTCTTCTTCTTCTTCGTCACTGTAGCTACTTTGTAAGCTTGCTGCTTGGTGGGTAGTAGTTGTTGTTCATGTATACAGTCTTTGTTTGACTACTGTTTCCCTTGTCTCTCTGCCTCCATCACTGTGACACAAGCAAACCCATCTCTTAAGTCTTTGTTTGACTACTGTTTCTCTCCTATGGCGCTGGAAGCTGCGATCTACTCGCAAGACCCGTTTGGTTACCCACCATTATTCAAGGACCACTACTATGGCTATGGCATCCACCAAGAAGAAGAAGAAGAAGACGGCGCCCTCGGAATAATCCTCGAGGACAAAATAATGTTCAACGATTCCATCGCCACATTTTTCAACCCGCCGCCGCAGGAGGAAGCTCTGGCGGGATCCACGTCTATTGCCCCCGCACGGCGGAAGCGGCGGCGGAGCAAGAACGCGAAGAACGAAGAGGAGATAGAGAGCCAGAGGATGACTCACATCGCCGTGGAGCGCAACCGGAGGAAGCAGATGAACGAATACCTCGCCTTGCTCCGCTCTCTCATGCCCTCTTCCTACGTTCAAAGGGTCAGTTTGGTCCATTCCTCCCACCGGCTCCAATCCTCAGTTTTAGTTAAAAAAAATATTTGGACTAAACTGTAAATTTACATTCTTTTGGGGATCAGGGAGACCAAGCTTCGATAATTGGAGGAGCGATTAACTTCGTCAAGGAGCTGGAGCAGCTGCTGCAGGCCATGGAAGCTCAGAAAGCGTCACATCATCATCAACAACATGCTCAAAACGACGAAGACGGTCAGGCAGGGTTTACTGATAACGGCCGTTTGCCGTCGCCGTTATTTTCTGAGTTCTTCGCCTTCCCGCAGTACTCAACTCGGAACCAGACCGTGCAGGCTCAGTCGCCGTCGCCGGTAGCTTCTGGCGACGGGATGGCCGGCAGTTTGGGTGGTGGTGTAGCGAGGGAAGAGGCGGCGGTTGGAGAGGTGGAAGTGACGATGTCGGAGAGTCACGCTAACGTCAAGATTCTGGCGAGGAAACAGCACCGGCAGCTGGTGAAGCTGGTTGCTGGGCTGCAGGGACTCGGGATGACGATTCTTCACCTCAATGTTACCACGGCCTCAGATCAAATGGTTCTCTACTCTGTTAGCTTCAAGGTGGAGGAAGGGTGTTATTTGAACACGGTGGATGAGATCGCAGCTGCCGTCAATCAAATGCTACGGCGGATTGAGGAAGGAAGCTATACTGGTCGAGCTTGTTAGCTAGCTGCTTTTTTAGGTGGCGGAATCAATTAATTAAGCTGTAACGAACTTTCAATCCCTTTGGTTTTGGTCGTGGTGAATCTACTTGGTACTTATTTCTTAGAAATAATAGCTCTAAAATTAATTATGTGGATATTGTTCGATATTTTATCACAAGAATCTCTGAGCAAAATTAATTAATCGAAAAGTAAGGTCTCTCCAGTCTCCACTGCTTGAAAATTCACTATATTATTATTATTATTATTATTATAAAATATAAATGCATTTTTATTTGGTCAATTAGTAACCAAATCTTCTTTCCATTTAGACAAAATATAATTGTATATCCACAACTATCAAGTTTGTGACATATCCACAACTATCGAAATACACGAAAAAAAAAAGGTATTAACTAACTATTTATTAATATAACAATAAAAAAGTAGCACAATGATTACTTTTAAATTATGAATAAAATATTTAGAAGATTGTAAAAATTTGTAAATATAAAACATTAATTACTAAAAATATAAAAAAGTTCATCTGATCAACGGGTCAGGTAAAATATGTTTCAATGTTTCGTTCAATGAAAGGATTCTAGCCAATTGAAGGGATCTTCTTATCAATCCAGAGATCATTTCGAGAACTGCAATAAGAATCAATGCCTGCCATCTTGAAGTCGGGCATATTCCACTAGTTGTTGTATTCTCATAATCATGGTTGTCACTTGTCAACCCGCAGGCTGATCGGTCAGTCGAACCACTTCGGCCCGCACCCAGTGTCATGAGTCATGAACGGGCGACACAAACCCAGTACCAGTAGTCAGTTGGCTCGGATGTCGTCAAACACAGAATATCCCAGTCAAACCCATCGAAATCGACCAACTCAATCGACTGATTATGTTTGCGAAATAATATTGGCAAGTCAAGAGGCTCTGGAGATTCAAACTCTCGACCTTACTGTAACAAATGGTAATTTCACCACTGCACTACACAGCAAATTGTGTTTGCTTTAAGCAGTTTCTTGTTTTTATTCTTTAAAACGGTTGTCTTCCATTTCATTTTTGGCTCACCGTAAATGAGATTATAGATGGTGATTATAAGTTAAAGAATTGAAAATTGTATGGCACATTGATTTTTTTTTATATATATATTATGAAATCTAAGTATGAATATTTGAATGTTGATGTTATAGGTTAGATTCAAGTATGTTAGATGTTTTTACTATATGTTAGATTTAAGTGTAAATGTTCTGATGTTGACATTATATGTTGTATTCGAGGATGGACACTTGTCATTTTCATGTAGTGTTATATTTTATGTGAATGTAGAGAGCTTATTGAGACCTAAGAAAACTAAAAAAAATATGCATAATATAATAACTTTTTCCACGTATCCGGGCTAAACTAATTCGATCACTAACCCTTAACGCACTTTACCAATCGGGCCAGTGGTTTAAACCGGGTTGACAACCTTGTTCATAATACAATCAAATTTTTTTCACCAAAAAGAAAATAATACAATCACATTTTGTCACGATAGTTGCGAATTTCAATATGTTGTTGTGACAAATTGTACAGTTGTGACAAATGATTTTGACATAATAGTTTGTCATAATATCTAAATATGCGGTTCTTGTGTCAAATTTTTTTTGTCAAAATAAGTTTGTAATGGCGAACCGTTATTGTCATACTTATATTCCGGAATAGTCTGTATATTTTGTGATGACATCATTTTATCATAATCTAACATGTTAATTCTACCACTAGATCTGAAAATTATGATAAATAACAAGATTGTCATGAATATTGAAGGAATTACACAAAATATTCTACAATCTTAGTCATGATCCTTAAATAACAATCTTGCAGAGTAACATGTCATTCTAGTCTTCACAATGCATCCATTTGTTTCACTTTGATAGACAAACCTACATTAAGTTCATCTTAAAAGAAAAGTTCTACATACAACCAAAAGTTTTGACAAACCACGACCCATATATTCCCTTTTGTTCCTCCCGCATTTAGCTTTCTCCAATTATCCTCCCTTCAACGTGGAACATGGGTTTAGAATAGTTGTGTTGCACACCAAAAAGCTGAACCAAAGTGTTTAACGGGCATTCTTAGGACCCTTAAGAAGCATATGCAAAAATTAATAAAACCTTAACTAGAACTTGACAAAATAGTGTATTCATAACCGAATAAAAGTATGCATACACAAGTTAGCAACAACACAAATTCCGTACATTCAACAAATGATAATTAATATGGGTTTCATATAACCACGCATCAAGTAACCTCCCCTAAACAGTATTTTTCATTCCTCTGCTATATGGTCTTAGATAAGTTTTTGGCTATAATCAAGTTAGAAAACCATCAAATTAGTCATAATCAACATAATGATTGAGATAATATTGTTGGGGGAAGAGACGGGCAGAAGTTCGCTCATAAAGTAAATTCTTCCGATGATTGCAAGAAACAAATAAAAATGATGTTCACCACTGAAACATGAGTGAGGAAAAGGAGGCTCTAGTTCATAAGAGGAGATCAAACCCAGTCAAGCCAGGGGCTATTGCTTACTGGTAGGGCTGGTTATTTGGTCCGGGCTTTTTGGTTTTACTCAAAACCAGATCGGGATCGGATAGCAAACAATCCATTCTCATATTCAGGCTTAGATTTGAGGTAAAAAACAGTTCGGGACCGGACCAAAACCATATATGAGAGCCCAACACCCAAAACTCCACTAAAATCTCCACAATCTCAATCTAAAATCAAGACCTAATTGGGACCGGACCGGATCAAGACCGGACTGTATCCACTCCAATCTTTGGTCCTTATATTCCCGAAAAGACTGAACTGGAACCGGATCAATTCGAGCCAATTTAACCGGACCGAACCGTATAACCACCCCTACCTACTGGGAACATAATGAAGACCGAACACCCCATGATTTATCAAGAGTGTGGACAATGGTTGCTTTATCGGGGGGTTTTACAATTAACATTAGAGAGGGTATGATTACTCGTACAGAGTTCTCTGAGATTGTGCAAGGTTTGAGACGCACTTTAAGAGTTGATGGCTACGATCGAAAGTTCTTCTCTAGAATTATTCTCTTATTGACAATACACTTATCATGTGAGCCACTCACCACCATCCACACTACGCGTGCCGCGTACTAGAGATTAGGTGTTGGTTAGCTTACTCTTGACAATCAGGATTTGAGCATGTTTTCAACAAGGGAAACTTTGTAGCGGATTACTTCACATCTCTGCCTCTCTGGGGCATTCCTGCCGTACACATTTGTTAAGCATCAACGAGTGTGGTTATTTATTAGTTGTATTTTGATAACATTTTTCGTTGACGAAGAAAAGGTTGTGGCGCCCTTTGTTTAAATTTTTTTTGTTTTTGTTTTTTGTGGAAGTTAATCTTTTTAAGTACATAAATGGGTCTCATAAGATGTTCTCTGTGTCACGGCAAGTTCAAAGGGGTATGGTTTGAGGGTGATGATGCGTTTTCTTTTCTATTCACCCTTGTATAGCTTCAAATTCCAAAAGTGGAAATGAAAATAAAAGAAACTTCGATTGATGAGATTAAAAATGGATCCTCGAAACCCCAATAAAAAAAGTTAGGCCAAGCAAAATATCCAATTAGAATTTTGATTTTACAGAGAAAACTCATTCAAGAAGCCAACCCCAAAAAATACAAGCCCAATAACAATATTCAAGCCCTATGTGATAAAGCAAATAGAACTAAATTCATTTACTCGTAAGCCTGGATGGATTTGCCCGACGTTCAGTTTCTTCTTCCTTCTTGTTCCCTCATCGCTAGAAACAGATAAAAAAATATGACAGACATTAGGATTCTTTAAAGCGAACGAGAAATTTTCTAAACCTAACCACAAAACTGTTTATCACAATGACAACAAAAAAATCTTTCAGTAAAAGGAAAATTGATAAGCAAGCATAAAACATAGTAGTAGGGGGAGCCAAAAGCTAATACTATAGTGTACTGCGCACAATTTGAATTTCAATCTCCAATTTTCTCGTTTCCTTCTTTCCTTACCCAACAACACTTCTCGACCGATGTCTTAGACGAAAACACAATTTTTTTTTATCATTCCTCCTCCTCCAACAACCTCTGCCGAGCCGGCGGGGTCCTCTCAACCCAATGGTGAGTTCTCTCACCCCCAACGGCCGTTCTATCTGCGAAAATCCGACACCATTTGTGGCAGAGAACAATCGAATACTGATAGATGCATTTGTGGCAGCGGCTGCTATACTGGTTGTTGTCATCATCCTCTGCAAAACTTCCAACGTCAATTAGGGTGGCTAGAAACATGGCTCTTTTCTTGCTTTCTTTCGATTTCATTGTAACAGAGGATCGCACAAGTGCTTTTTCGTAAAATTCTTTTTTATGGAAATCCGAGGGTATCTTTCGATGGAAGCCCCAAGAGGGTTATATGGTTATTCGACCTTGTAAACATTTTGGCATGTAATGACAACTTCTTTCGTTTCGCATTCCAATTTTTTTTGTCCATAGTATGACACCACAAAAATATTGTTATCAAGACAACACATCTCATTAAGGACAAAATTGAAAAATGACATAAAATAAAAAGTCAAATAAAAAAATATGACAGACATTAGGATTCTTTAAAGCGAACGAGAAATTTTCTAAACCTAACCACAAAACTGTTTATCACAATGACAACAAAAAAATCTTTCAGTAAAAGGAAAATTGATAAGCAAGCATAAAAAAAACATAACAAAAATATTAGAAGACAATACTAAGAATTAGCTAAAGATATAGTTAATAACAATTTTAGAATGTCAATGTAGAGAAAAACAAAAAGAATTATACCATGACCTAGAATTAGCTAAAGATGTAATTAATAACCCTAAGACGGAGCATTCATTTTCTTGTCTATATTTGGACGAATCATAGCCGTCGATTATTGTTTCTAATTAAATTGATCTTGGAGTATAAGATTTAGGGAACTAAGTCCTAGGTTTTGATCTTGGAGGGTTAGAGTATAATATCATGTTCAAAAGATCAATCAATTCAAGGTCTGGATAGCGTTTTCATACTCAAGGCATGCGGTACCCTGAATTTCACCTTGGATACCGTAGAACTCGCCATATATATATATATCAAAAGAAAATTATAGGTGAATCTAGTGAAAACTATAAG